AAAGACTTGATATAGAATCAGCGATTTTGTGTAATTGGGCACTACTGAGCCATTTTAATCATCCCTCGCAAATATTAGGTTATTTGATTATTTAAATAATAATTTCTATTATTTTCTATTTCAATACACGTCTTAAATTATTTTTTTTCTTTCTCCTGAGATGCCCCACTCATTTAATTTTTATTGACATTTGCCCAGCATAACAGAAGGATAGGGCTTTTCGCGTGCTGTTCAGTGACCCAAATTGAACTTTTATCGATTATTTTATCCAGAGTAAAGCGTATAAAATGGAAAAAGGACAAACAAATCTCAATTTACCTTATTCAACAGTAATTTTACTAAGGGATATATAGGTCTCCTAAAGACTACTGTAGTTTTCTTCTGTTTTGACAAATTAATATATGAATTCGAAAACTATTGGCTACACCATATAACAATAAACGCTCGTAGCCCTACTCATTGATTAACAATATATAAGTAGTATCCCACTTACTGTAAAAATTTTGAGCTTGATAATGATATTAGAGTAGAATTAACAAATATCATTAAATACTCGAATTTTCTGCAAATGAAAACTCTCATCAAATTATCGAAGTGATTTGCTTCTTACACAACCTATTTTTTTTAATAAACAGGCTAATTATAAATTAGTTCTCTACTTGCTGGCACTTTAAGAAGCCTGATAACTGACTTAACTTAAGTCAATTTATCGGTGTTTCATTGGGGACGTTCACTCAAATGTTCAAATCTAACCGACCAGGGCTTTTTGCAAATATTGTCTTCTTGGTCTGTCCCATTAAACTTTTGTCGCCAATGCAATAGGTAATGCAACAGGTTGATGCTCCAGGCATTAGCCTGCCCTTAAATCTAGCCGTATAATATATTCTAGGTCAGAGTCTGCATCTAAGGGCCTGAGCACAAATTGAATTGGCTCAGAGTTGACTGGATATTTTTAACTCAGTAGTTGAGCAATCATCACCACGCGTGATGACATTTCAACTGATAACGACTCGCATGCCAGTTATTAATCAATAAGCTAACCAGAGGGCAACCATCCTCGACGAG